CGATATTAACGAACTGTGTCTCTTCAAACTTTTGGAAAAGTTAGAGATTGCTTTTCGGAGAGTTTACCGTTTCCAAGTAAAAAAGAAAATGCATGCGTTAAGTTAGCGCACAAAACACGCATGCTAACACACATGTGCACGTACACACAGGTACATTCGCGCTCACACACACACACACACACACACACACACACACACACACACACACACACACACACACACACACACACACACACACACACACACGAACCTCTTACTATGGGCAGTTTCACAGCAAAAATATTAGAATACTTTTTTTCTTAAACACTACAGTATCCCATAACTTTATTCAAATTTGTCTATCTTCGATGTTTTCACTCCTTTATTTTTCCACCCTCTTCAACGTATGACGGAAAGACGGCGTAAAAAAAGGCCGAACTCAACATGCCATTGGCGCTGTCACTGTAGGCATTGTGCAATTCATTTTGCCTCCCCCCCCCCTTTTTTTTTTGCTCCATAGTATTCTGATAGCGCCCTAGCATTCTGTGTGTTCATTTATTTGCACTCCTTCTTTTCTTTTTTTTTTTTGCAAATGGGGTCGCAGTTATTTTTTTTCTACATTCTCTTTCGCTTCCTGTCCGGGCCTTTTCCGCGGGGAAATTGTGGCGGCTCAAACTGGAAGCCGATATCGGCGAATCAAACAATGGGAAGCCTAGATTTGTCACGCTGTCGGCTTTAAAGTGGATCCCGCAAAACTCCCTCTGGAGAAACGTTTCATTTTTCCCCGAAATGCTTTCGTCACACAACCATGTTTTCGATTTTCTTTCTTTCTTTTTTCCTCAAGTTGTGTCTGACGGCCATAGCGAGTTTAAAAATTCCGTTGCCGCTTTCCACATCCAGCCTGAGTTTGCGTGGCTTTCCGATTTCAATCTGCGTTAGCATACCCCAAACACACTGCTGATTCCTTTCAAGTAACTTTCATTATTATTGCGCTTTCTTATAATAATATGGCATTTATAGCTCGAACGTTCTCGGGCGTTGTTATTGCTTGACACAGTTTTTCGAGCAACCTGTATGGTGGATGAATTAATCTTGCAGAGATTTACATCTTTTTGCTTTCAAATATATATATTTCTATCTCTCTGTCACTCTTATGTGGCTTTCATTTTTACTTTTTGACGTTTGAGCTCGCTGATTGTAAGCTCACCCGGGGAGTGGTTTCCAAAGGTACGTGCTGCTTCTTGGGGCGTTCTAGTCAAGCCTGAGCACACGTTTCAACAAGTAGATTTCCTTTTGAATCACCAGCGAGATACACAAATTTAAGAAGTGTGCCGCGAGTGTATTTTAAGCAACAACCGGGGTACAATGCTTTCTTGAGAAAGAGTCGGAGACTGAAGGAATCAGGGTGTGGTTTGCACAACACTCTAACCACAAATGCACAACACTGCGCCAGCTTACGCTATGCAAAGAACATGTGCGATATCTCAAGCAGGTGACTTATTGTGATTGTTTCATGGGTGTTTTGGTCTGCTACATACTGTTTAATTCATGGGTATAAACATCTCTACGAATGGAGTCTTGGTGGTTTGATGTCAAAGAATGTATTTTGACGTGCCGTGTTTGTCTATGTTCTAATGGGGGCCGGTATTTGTTGGGATCAATCGCAAGCTCTTTGGCGCCGACGAAAATGGGAATTGAATTCACTGAGGTTTTTGTTCGCAAGCGGAATGGATGGATGTAGATACATTTCATTCGCTTGCAAAATTATTCCAGTTGTACTTCTCGTAACTCAACCTATTTGTCTTGAACACAGGTCTTTGCATCCATGGGACTACAAATATAGCTTGAAAGTTCATCAGCCACTAAGAAATTGTTTAATGTGTCCTTGTGCTGTCGTAACTGCCAGGATGTATTGTAGATTTTCTTCATTTTAGGATAGCATACCACTTATTCTAAACTAATTGACAGCTGCATCCTTCTCCTTTCTTCTGATTTCTTCTTTGCTTCCTGAAAGTATAGCGACACTACGAAAGAAAATTGTCGTATGATGAACGTTTGTAATGTCGTGTATACAAAAGACGTCTGCGTAGACCCGCCCACACGATCCTGAATGAAAACAAGTCTTCAGATTTATACAGTTTCCAGTGAAAAAATTCCAACATCTCCGTGAAGTTTATGATGATGAGTAAGGTGAAGCTGGAATGCTTATTGGTAAAACCGTGAAGCTCTGTTAGAGCATAGTGATAGCGTTGCCATGGGACTTGTCGTTGCAGATGGAGGCGATGGTCGTTAGGTTGTTGTCAAATCACAAGCGGTCGCATACCTACAGCTGCGGTCGAACGAGCGATAGATGATTCGCGCTTGAAGCTCGCGTCGACGCCACCAACTTCAGATAGCGACCACTTTCGGCGAGCGTGACCACTGCTTCTCGCATCTGCTCCAATTCGACGTTCTCTTTCCACTGCTTGGGTGCCGTCGCAGCTTCGCTGGCTCTCACTTCGAGAGCCGCTTCTCGACGAGCCCGCTTTGCTTCGGCTGCACGAGCGCTCGCCACTGCCAGCGCCTGCGAATTCGGTGCTGAGGCTGGCTTGCGATTGCTGCTGATGCTGGCATCTTTTTCTCTGACTCGCGAGCTCTCACCGCGAGGTCTTGGAGGCGGGCCCGCATTGCAGGCACATTCCGAGCTGTCCGCGCCGCTGTCTTTGCTTACAAGGTGTGCATGATGAGTAGCTGCATGGAGGTGTGTCAATCACTGCGCTCCAGGCGATAATAAAGAAAGCGTGCTGAAGTGCTCGCTGCATAGTCGCGGCCATCTGGTGGTCGAATCTATAATTATAACATGCTCACATGTATGAAAGAGAGCAGCGAAAAGGGAGGAGCATAAGTGTGTGCTGCGCTGCTTTGAGCGGCCATGAATAAATAGAAAGAAAGGAGGGAGCATGACGTCACGCCGCCAGCATTTGCAAGGCAACCCGTTTTGAAGCCAGCAGTGTCGACACAGCACGTGACCTTCTGCAGCAATATCACGCAAGTAACGAGATTTGCAGAGACTTCGGAGTGTGGCGCCCAGTAGCTTTTATATCGAACCAGGCTAGTTCGGCGCAGACCGCCCGGCTCACGCAAGAGGTCTGAAAACGGAAAGCCACCAACAGTACTAAAACCTATAAGTTATAGTGCTCCTTGCTACACTCTCAGTACGCTCTCAGTACACTTTAGTTTTACCGCATGCTCTGACGTTTTCGTCACGTGTTCGAACTCGTAGATTTCAACTGGTGTGACGTAATACTTCCTTCTTTCTACTAGGGGCGAAGCTCTTTACGGTTTGGTTTGTTCCTTCGTAGGAAGCTTGATTAAATGATTGATTGATTGATTGATTGATTGATTGATTGATTGATTGATTGATTGATTGATTGATTGATTGATTGATTGATATGTGGGGTTTAATGTCCCAGAACCGCCATATCATTACGAGAGATGCTGTAGTGGAGGACTCCGGAAATTTCGACCACCTAGGGTTTTTGAACGTGCACCTAAATCTGAGCACACGGGCCTACAGCGTTTCCGCCTCCATCGCGAATGCAGCCGCCGCAGCCGGGATTTGATCCCGTGACCTGCGGGTCAGCTTCGTAGTAGTAGCACGCTGTAGTGGTAGCCACTTTTAGTTAGCTTCAAGAGTTGGTCATTAGATGGCGTTTCGTCTATATGTCCTTGAAAATGTATATTATCACTAGATGGGATTAGTAGTTTTCGCATGAAAATTCATGGCATAACCAGAGAGTGAATGATGATGATGGGGGTGATGCGTCCGCCCTTTCTCCCGTAAAAGACGGACAGACGGACGGAGGGACGGACGAGCAGATGGATGGACGGACAGATAAACGCTTCGTACCACTCATCTTTGTTCACTCCGGGGATATGCTGTGAATTTTTTGCTTCCTCCATGGTGGTGGTGCACCATCTAGTGGGTGACCTATGAACTATTGCAGAGCTGCTCCTATAGCAGTCGCCTGTAGAACAAGTAAACACGGCGCACCGATTGACTTCTGTGAGCAAGAGGAGCTTCGGCTCCTTCAATAAATTTTGAGCTTTTGTGTGCCCGAGTCACAATATTGTGACGCATGCAGCAGTAAGATACTCCAGATTACATCTGAACACATGAGGGTATTTATCGTGAACTTAAAAATACGTACACTTATGTCTTCAGATTTCGGCCACATTGTTTTGTGGCTCTCGGGGCAATGAATTTAATCCTCGACTTTCTAGAGGGGTTTTTCAGCATGAGAACCAGCGGGCCACAAATTAGCGCCAGCAATGCCACGTGCCTGCTCGCGCTGCTTGTGATACGCAACGTATGCCTCTCGCCCACGGGTACAGGGTAGTAATTGGTTGAAGTCTGACCCTTGGGAAGAAGCGTGTGTTGGTTCAAACCAAACTTTCTCAGGGAAATTGGCCGTGGTGAGCCACCCTTTATAATGTGGTGCAGCATACGCGTCAGCCAGTGGCCGTGGAAATTCGATCGCCAGGTTCACCACGGTAGTGCGTTAGAGTGTACTCTAGTATAAGCACCCTAACCTTGTCACGTTGAAAAGAGTGTCTAGCATTCTGCACTCACATCCACTGCCCGCCGCGTCGCCACGAAGCATGCACATTCCCTAAACTTATCGCCAAAGAAAAACACCTAAACGATTGCGGTCAGAATTTTCAGGGAACAGTACCGTAATCGTCGGTGAACTGTTCCTTTGCATCGTGGTTTGCTGTTTAGTAACATGAAAGCATTTTGTTGTTTTTATTTTTTTAACATCATCGCGTCCGTAAGAATCTGTATGGTCAGTACACATTAATATAACTTTAGTAATGAAAGGCAGTTCGTTTCTTGGAAACCCAGCTCTTTGTTTTAGCGATGAGTTTAATTAGTCGCCCTAAAATCAGTCCACCAACCGTTCGACGTGTAGTCCTGACCCTTGTCTAATCTATCATTTCCTTTTTTTTTGTTTAACTTGATCTTTTTCTTTCGTTGGCAGGTCAACGTGGACTGGGAGCTGAGCGAAACGCTGTGCGACTTCTACATCGCAGTAGACGTCACCTGCAGCACGGCTTCCATATTCAACCTGGTCGCCATCAGCATAGACAGGTATGCCTCCACACTGCTTTCAACAGTGTCTGTGCTGCTTTCTAATCCGCATGATCCTTAAACAATGAAGCTATGTGATGTATTTTACATCAAAGCCTCATATGAGTAAGTTGCTTCGAACCACGTGCGCAGACAAGGGATGCGTTTAACTACTAAGTTCAGCCCCCGTCGCCTCCTCGTCACGTATTCCGCTCACCTCCTCACCACCGCCGATGCATCGTTCATGAGTGTCGGGATACCCGACAGTGGCACTTTCCGCAATTCGTTGTCACCGATCATCTCGATACTTTGGTGTGGCGCTAGTGCTGTGACCTTTGGACTCCCTATGGGACGGACGTGTGTCATTCGCTCGAAGAAACAAGTGTCAGAAATCAAGGAGTGCCAATGCTCACTCGAGCCCGAACAGGCGCGAAAAGAACGTGAAGAAGCTGCCGCAGCATCTCGCAATGACTCTGAACTTTTTATTAGCATTTATTCTATATAGTGTGATGGGCCCGCGACATGGCGGAGAGACTAGAGGCCTATCTGTTGTCACGTGGAAGCGGCCTGATGCGTGCAAGCTCATGCCTCTAACTACCTAAATAAACTTATTATACTTCATTGTTTGCAAGTGCGTTAGTATCAGAATATTTACTTCAGGCACGTGTACAATCATTTCCATGGTTCCCGTAAGCATCATGACGTCGCTGAAAACGATGCTGCTGCTGCTGCTGCTGCTGATAATGATAATGACGATGATGAGTGGATGATTCAAATGGTGCAAGCTCATAGTAAGCACGAGCCAAAGGTGACACATTTAGCTGAAAAGGACACCCAAACCTATTAGCATATCTTCTAACAAGATAATCGGAAGAACAACCCGTCCCATCAACCCGCACTACATTACTGCTATGGCATTTCAGCGGTCAGAGAGTATCACTTGTTGGCATTTCGCACGTAGAGCATACCATTCTTTGAGCTGGTCGATGCCACATGGCGTTTATTATCATCTTCACTGTGAAAGCAATGCACAAAATAAAGGAAGTCAGGCACGCGGTGAATGCTGTGGAGTGTTGAATAGGGATGAGGGCCTAACGTTAACGCACCATTCATCGCCTCTCTAACTATATAAAATATGACACTATCAGCTTTTACATTAACAAAAACCATACTCTCCCAGTATGCCTGATTCTTATCAGCGCAGTTATATTGTTGGTTAAAAAGAAGTAAAACCTTCTTGCACTACACAACTATGCTGAAAAGGACGGACAGTTCTTGATCTTTGATATGCAGTAGTGAACAACTACGCAAATTAAAAGCGCGAAGGACAAACTTAAAAAACGCAGGAAATGTGCTGACAGCTGCCACTGATAGCGGTACCAACGCTGTGCGTTCATTCGCGTTTTACGGAGAGAGAAAATAATAAAGGAGGATAGGGATCAAGGAAAAGAAAGTAAATAAATCATTGATAACTTGGGCGAAAATTCAAGTAGACGACAGAAGCATTTTTTTTATTTTTACTCGCAGCCACCTGCCAACGTATGAAATATTCGATAGCGCAAATAGCTGAAGTGCGCAAGACCTGTGTAAAAAAACTAACTGCCACGAAAATGTTTTCCCAATTGCTTTTTTTTCTCAGCACACCACGTTAGGCGGCACCTCGGGTGCGAAAAGGCGAACTTCCTGATGATTAGATTTGCATCCTTTCAGTTCGTCAATACCGAAGTTCGTGCATTTTTGTGCAGGCTATTTTTGCTTTGTTTTGTACGATGTAAACTCGTGTCAACATAATATATATGGTAATAGCCTTTGGGAGGAAAAAAAACCAAATTAGAAATAGGCGCCTCTTATAACAAAGAAAGGTCACCTTTCCACTGGCTTTTTCATGTCGTATGAACCTGAAAAAGCATGCGATCTCGCCCTATACGCTTATTTTCGCTGTGACGACACTTTTCGAGTTGACGCGGCTCGTTATGGTGAAGCGAACGGTCGCACTATACCGCTAGCTAACGAACCGGGCAGACCACATTTCTGAAGATTCAGGGATTGAACGCATCATGCTTCCGTAACCCGCCGCGGGCGCAGTTTGAAATTTCCGCGCAATCATATATAATGGCAGTAGTAAAAAATGTGGAATCTGCAGTCGCAGCGGCGATAAAAATTTGAATCTGAAACCGTGATTGGGCGCCTCGGCGGAGTGGCGCACTTCAAAAAGACCAGCGAACAAGAAAATGCGTCGCTGATGACAGAATGTGCACCCTGCGCGCCAGCCGAAGTTTGTGGTTGAATTGTTCGGAGAAACGGTGCCTCATTATTCATACCGGAAAACAAAACGTTGTATTGTTTTAGATCACAAAGGGAACAAAATTAAATCGACAAACACGTGTTAGTTCGAGCGACATTCGCCACCAATAGCCTGCACACACGCATGCAAATTTGATCGCGGCCACGAGCGCCATTTTCCGGCATGCTCCTTTTCCTGATTCTCTCTCCCTCATTTAGCCTTATTCCTCGGGTTGGTGGCTACGAAAAAAAATATAACAAGGCAAAAACAACTACATATAATTTTATATAAAAGCCACATGCTCCTTTACCCAGCCAATCTGTCAACAGTAGTCGCATATAGGACAAAGAAAAACGAAAGACACAAAAGAATCGGAACAAAAAACAAGCGAAGAAGTTCTCAGAGGAACAGCAAATTCACTTTGTCTCGTCAGCACGACGGCCATTGCTCGGCGAAATTCAGCGGCTGGCAGTCAGCGAAAATTTATTGCTTCTTGGCGAATTCATAAATATGCTAAACAGCATCGCTACCAAACGAAGCGAGGCCCCCGGGTCGTTTTGAAAAGTTGCTCAGTGTTTCTGCGGGCACGCATTCAAGTGGTAACGCTAACATTGCCGAGAGGACAAGCGTGCACTTAGAGAAAAACAAAAAAAAACGAACAGTAGATTAAAACAATGACATCAGAAAAAAAACGAGCAGCTTGTCAACACTGCTGCGCACTTTGACGGTTTTACAAGCGAGCTGTTGCTGTTATCATGTGTGACAACAGAGCAGAACACTAAGCGTACTTTAAGAAATAATAGTGTTAACAAATATACAACGTAACACACTTAGTCTGAAGATAAGAGGAATGTTCTTGTTTTCTCTCTTTGTTTATCTCAACTTCTAGATCAATGTTCTTGAATATACTGCCACTGCGAACCGCCACAGTTTAATGGTTTCTTGTATTGGTCTTTTAGCGGGAATTCAAATATGTCTAAAGAATATCTAGCACAAGCGTCTACAAGGTAGTACACCTTGTAGACACTATTGTGTACTACCTTGTATACGACGTAGTGTACACAAGATAGTACACTATAGTACACAAGGCAGTACACTACACTGTGTACACTATTATCAAGCTTTAGATGGGCAATCCAAGCAACAAATTTTAAGCGCTGAAGCGAGACAGGGACGATGAAGGTGGAACCCAACACGTGTGCAGTGTCATAAGGGTCATCCAATCAATCAATCCTTGGCTGACGTGGCAGCCTCATTTCAATACCATAGGCGAAGAAGCGATGGCCAACATTATGCCGTATTAAAATAGTTATTATTGTTTTTTAGGGGCAAAGCTCCTTATAGCGGCACCCGTTGTTACATACTACAACGGTCGTAACCGTTGTAGTATGTAACAAGTATAACATTTTGACCTCCAAGGCGGTGCCGGTGAAAGATTTCTTCTGTGCGTTGTTGAACAATGAAAAATAGTGTTTAATGTACATGCCAATGGCTGATAATGAGAAATGAGAGACAGGAGCATTCGGCTTTCAGTTAACGCGCACGCTGCGATCCCCATTAGCAGCCATTGGCATGTATATTGAGCCCTATCTGACAAAAAAGGGTTGCTACGTTATACTCGCTGGGTGTGACCCCCTTAGTTTTAGAAAGGTATAGCGAGCGTTGAGCCGCAGTGCCATGAATACAATGAACTAGTATATACCATTAATAAACTCGAGGTGGTTAAAGGTGGGAAGTAGATACGTAGCGCAAGCCGTAAGAAAGTAAAAGCCGAATTCTCCTGTCTCTCATTTCCCATTAACAGCCATTGACATGTACATTGAGCACTATCTGACAGGAAAAGGTTGCTACGTTATACTCGATGAGCGTAACCTCCTTGGTTTTAGAAAGGTTTAGGGAGCGTTGGGCCGCAGTGCCATGAATACAGTGAACTAGTATATACCATGAACTCGAGGTGGTTAAAAGTGGGAAGTAGACCCGAAGCGCAAGCCGTAAGAAAGTGTGCGTGTGCCCCTTCTCGTTTAGTCCTTGGAATGTCCGCTGGATGGCGGTGCTTCTATATGGGGAATATATGATGAAAAGATGCGAGATGTTGGTACTTAGAGTGTTGAATAGATGGACGAACGGACACAAATACAGATGCATGGACGGACGCATGAGCGGACGCAGGGGTGGATGCATGGACGAACGCAGGGGCGGACGCACGAACAGACGCACGCACGGACGGGCGGATGGACGCATTGACGGTTACACAGATGGACGCATGGACGGACGGAAGCAAGAACGAATGGACGGACGAATTCTTCGCCCCACTCTCCACCATTCACTCCGTGAATATGCTGCCAATTTTTTGTAGTTGTGCGGTAGTGGTCAGTATGCGATGGGCCTCTTGCGCATCATTTGTTACGTTTAATTACGAGCAGGGGCTGTGAGTATTACCCAATAAACTTCAACTAATCATTAACAGCTAATGACCTATACTAAACAAAACAATACGAGGTAGTTTTGCGTTACAATCACACACATTTTTTAAAAAGAAATGTTAACCTTATGCAGTTCGCCTACGAGTATTTACTTAAAAAGATTAAAGGGGGGGGGAGGAGTAAAAGGTCATCTCACTGCTTTTCTCTCCCCCCCACGCCAAAGCTTAGAAAGGTAGGAGTGCAAAGAACGACGCTAAGGTAATTATTTCGCAGTCATTCACAATGTTAGATAAAGCACCAGGTAAATCAACACC